GCCCGCCCGCCCGCCCGCCCGCCCGCCCCACCCACCCACCCACCCACCCACCCACCTACTCACACTCCTTGCAGAGGCTGCCGGGTTCATATTGTGCTCTTGAGGTGGTCGTGTGTTTTCCAGTTCCATGGTGCGGCGCATGTGTTGCGGATGTGGCTCACAGCTTCCGTCATGCTTCACTCCTCTTTGCTTTTGTCCAGAAAAAACAGGCGCATCAGATTATAGCGGTGGTGGCCCTGAAGTTTGATTCTTGCGTGAAAGCAGTTGTTAAATGCCTGCCCCCTTGAGCTGCGCAGGTCTGCCCACATTTTTCGTAGGACCAACGCATGAGCCGCTGTGAGCTTCATAATGTTGGCCACAGCAACTCGGCCTGCAGAGGACTGACGTTGTTTGAGTTTGGAACTCTGGCCACTTGCAAGCTCAGGCATCTGGAAGGCTTCATTGTCAAGGCCTTCCACTCCCTCCAGCCAACGGGAAAGAGAATGCGCAGGACGCCGGGCAGGGCGCAGTCAAGTTGCACAGTCGTATCGGTTTGAACAGTTCAAGTAAATGCCCGAAAATTGTGTCTGTTAGCTGTTTTGTACCGTTCGGTTGTTTAGTTTTTTTCCTGCATCCATGCCTCTGTGTTTCTGTGTGTCTCTTCTTCTTCTCTATCTGAGTGTTTGTTTACGTGTGTCCTTTTTTGGTGTGTTTGTTGAGTTGCTTCAAAAGGCAGAAGGTGGGACCTCCCCGAATCATACCCCCGAATCATACCCCCGAATCATACCCCGAATCATACCCCCGAATCATACCCCTTAAAACGTATGCTGCAAGATGCTACTGTTCTTCTACCGTTTTGTGTTGTTCACTGTCTCCACAACAACCACCACCAGCGCTACCCAATACTACCACTACCACTGCCACTGCCGCTACTACTACTACTCCTACTACTCCAATTACTACTACTACTGCTACTACCACTACCACTACTACTACTACTACTACTACTACTACCACTACTAGTACTACTTCTACTACTACTATTCCTGCTGCTGCTGCTGCTGCTGCTACTACTCACTACTACCACATACATCATTCTGAGTCTGTAATCAGTGCCGTTTTGCACCTAGCCAAATCATACCCGCGAATCATACCCAAATCATACCCGGACAATGAGCTCCCCCTGCCAAGGCTAGTGCTAAGTCTTTTTCACAGCGTCCGCACCACTACAGCCGCTGCTGCTTATGCTACAGCTGCTACCACTATTCTGCAACTGCTACTACTACTACTACTACTACTACTACCACTACTACTACTACTACTACTACTACTACTACTACCACAGTCACAGCTACTACGAGTTTGTAATCAGTGCCGTTTTGCACCTAGCCAAATCATCATACCCGCGAATCATACCCGAATCATACCCGAATCATACCCGCGCAATGAACTTGCCTTGCCAAGGCCAGCGTGGCCAAGTCTTTTCAAAGCTTCCGCGCCACTACGTCGCTGCTTCTACTGTTACTACTACTACCACTACTACTACCACTACTACTGCTACTACCACTACTACTACTACTACTACTACTACCACGACTACTAGTACTACTACTACTACTACTACTACTACTACTACTACTACTACTACTACTACTACTACTACTACTACTACTACTACTACTACTACTACTACTACTACTACTACTACTACTACTACTACTACTACTACTACTACTACTACTACTACTACTACTACTACTACTACTACTACTACTACTACTACTACTACTACTACTACTACTACTACTACTACTACTACTACTACTACTACTACTACTACTACTACTACTACTACTACTACTACTACTACTACTACTACTACTACTACTACTACTACTACTACTACTACTACTACTACTACTACTTACTACTACTACTACTACTACTACTAGTATTGTTACTACTACTACTACTACTACTACTACTACTACTACTACTATTGTTACTACTACAATATTCCTACTAGTACTACTACTTCGGCGACTACTGCTACTACTACTGCTGCTGCTGCTGCTGCTGCTTCCGCGAATCATACCCCCGAATCATACCCCCGAATCATACCCCGAATCATACCCGCGAATCATACCTGCGAATCATACCCCGTACTCAAACCTTCCTGCCCGGACACCCTAAAAAATACAAACCCATATGTCTTTGTCTACGTCGGACGCATATTTCGGGTGTCCCTGCTTGGGATCTCTGCGTCCTTGCTCTGGTTGGAGGGGGGATGGGAAAGCAAACCCTTGCACCAGAAGCTTGAATTTGGAAAGCAATGCGCTATGGCTGCAGCTGCTTTTCTGGCGGTACGATTGCTATCGCTTCCTGGCCGGTACAGGTATGCGCTGGCGGCGTGCGTGGGTGTGCCCTGGAGTTTAACTTGCAAGAGACGGCAGCTTGCTCTGTCCTGCCAGATTGGTCACAGCAGACCAATCGGCCAGTGTGGCCCTGGCACGCAAATGAGCTCGCGTTGCAGGCTGTGCACAATGGTGGTATGGCCTGGAGATCGCTGGCCTCGAGCCGCCCGGAGGTTGTTGCACCTTGAAAAGCTGCTGAGAGCTCTTGAAACAGCGTTCGCTTAAGAGACAGGAGAACGCATGTCTTGGGTGTACACACAAATGTTTTGGCTTCCATCCCGCCCACCTGGGCTGGAACAGCGCTCGGCGCTGGCTCTTCCTTTCTAGTCCTGTGCCTCGAGCCGCTTGCGAATTTTGCAGCTTGAATAGCTGCTGAGAACTCTGAACATGTCCATGTCTCTGTCCATGTCCATGTCCATGTCCATTCTTTCTTTGCCTCTGTCTCTGTCAAAGCTTCTGGCATCCGCCAAAACGCACAGTTGGTTTCTTTGAGGTGCCGTGTAGCGCCGTAGGATTTCCAGAGCCTTCCGCGGAATGGCGACCAACATTGGCAAGCAGAAGTGGAGGTGCACAAGCGTTTGCGCACCATAATAGTGCCATACCTGCTCACACTTAACCTGGATGAACATGTCGTGTGTTGTTTCTTGCCGCGGTGCGTTGGCGCAGGCGGCCATGCAGCGGTTCAATCAGATCAACCGGCAACTTCTAGATACGTCGCCAGAAAGGCCAAGACCATGTGACGCGGACGGTGCTGGCAAATCAGATCTAGAATCGGCTCGCCAAAGCTTCGAAATGCGGCTTCAATCTAGGCAAAGCGATGTTGACCCCTGACTGAACCAGGGCGTCATGCAACTGTCTTCATGTTGGCTGCGTTGCTGACAGGGAAGCAGCTGAGGTCAGCACCTGGTGTGAATATGTGCAATGGGTCGCTGAAAGTTGTGGGGACGAGTCCAAAGTGCTGGCCCGTGCATGTTGCGCGTTGTAATTTGACTTTTGCTTGGTACCTTGCTTTCCTTGAGCATCTGAGTCGTCTCCCATATATGGTGTGAACATGAGGTTATGCATTGGCCGGAGAAGCTGAGCACAGGGACGACATTCGGCATTTACGACTTTGGGTTCGGCACGCAGGGCAAATCCCGCAAGCTGAGCAGGCGTCCAATGCTGCGTGTGTGGCATTGACGAGCTCAATTGGTAGCTTATGATTTTGAGGGTTCGGACTTGCAGAGGTCTTTGACTACTTAGAAGCCGAAGGACGAAGCGTGTTGTCACTTACTGGCCAACGGTTGAATGGGCTCTTAGTTGATTGGCAGTCTCAGCAGCAAATACTAGGTGAGCTTGCTTCTGCCAAGCTTCCAGGAATTGGTACGAGGCATGCGCTCCTGTATGAAGCCTGTGCAGCACATTTGGAAAGGCAGCGAGCCTTTGCCGAAGCAGAATGCCAGTGCCCCCCTCGCTAGACGCATGTAATGTTGCTCGGTTTGAAAGGTTTTGTTCGAGTTTCCTCTTCTTCCTCACCTTCAGCTGGAAAACTTTGCTCAATCCAGCCCCCCCACACAACGCTTGATTTGTCTATTCTTGTTACCAGCATCCAGGCCGAACGCACAGTGCAGGTACGAGCTGGGCTTGGCAAGGCGTGCGGAGCCACAGGAGAGGCTCCGCAGCCGCTTCAACGAGTTCCGAAGGCGCATGTCGAAGCGAGCTGCGAGGGAAGGCGGGCGGAAGCTGCCAGTTCTCAGATGGCTTTGATACCCGTGCAAACGCTCAGAACGGCGCAAGAATCCGGCTTTGATCTTCCAGGACTTGGCTTGAAGTTGAGTCTAAAGGTTGGTGTGCAGTAGGCGTCACGCAGCCTGCACACTCGCAAGCCAGGAGCCTTCAAAGCAGCGGAGTCAGGGTGGAAGCACCCCCGGGGAGCTGGAACGCAGTCAAGTGGACGGTCCAGAAGAGTTGCCGATTCCAGGGGGCCACGTGTTCATTCCCATCTCGAGCCCGGGAAGGGAAGTGGAAGTTGAGCCAGAAGGTCGCGGCGTTTTCCGTGCGAAAGATGGAGAGGAGGCGTGGAAGGGATGTGAGTCGCGTGCAATGACTACGGAACTCACTGGTGGTCTCAGGGCCTTGCTGGCCGAATCGCGGTTTTCCCATGGACGTTCGTCCAGAGGATCAACGCTGGACTTGTTCGAGGACCCGACGTACACAGCAGAGCTGGCCAAACGGGAGGTCTTGGGGCTCTTGGCGTTCGACTCGCATGAGAAGAGCTCTGCGCCGCCTGCGCCGTTGAAGACGCTGATCCGAGTTGGTGCCAAGGCATTCCAAGCTCCGCGAAGCTCGGGGGCTTTCGAGGTCTTCGAGGAGACGGACTTTGTGGAAGAAATTCGAGGGTTCTAGCTGCCAGCTGTGCATGCCAATAGGCTAATTCGCCCCATGGGGTGCCGAATTCACTGCCAGCCAGACCAACATACCGTACTTGTAGAGGCAATTCATGCTGTGCAGCTTGACTGCTGAGCAATGGCAGTGGCATCAAAAGTTCAAAAGTGCTGCTGATGAGTTTGGCGCGTCCGGCTTTCACCTGAGTAGAAAGGCAGCCTTACTTTGCGGGGACTGCCCATTTTGATTCGGACAAGCTGGCTGTTGGATGCCATGATGCTGTGATGGGCTCGGCTTGCAGCCCTCTGCATGCAAGGGCTGTGGAAGGTTGTGACACAGCCTGTGCTTGCCAAATGGAGTTCGTGACACTGAGGGGCAGGTGCCTTGCGGGGGCTGGCATGCAGCTTTTCGGAACGCTGTCACTGTGAGCAGATAACACGGTTTGGTCGTGATCGGTGCGGGTCACCAACTTCTGCAGTGGACGGGGCTGGGCGTTCTTTGCTGCTGCAAGGGCTCGGTTGGAAGTGGACTCAGGTTGGAAGTTCATGCAGTTCATTCGACACAGAGCCGGAGATGCCCGATCTCCTGAAGGGCCAGTGCAGCTGATGAACCAGGCCTGGGATTGGGCGGGATGTGTGTGTGTGTGTGTGTGTGTGTTAGCTCTTTTTGGTTGCAGGGCACACTTCATGTCCCTATGCACGCCGTGCTTGACCGTAGGCCTTTTCACTCAATCCTATCATGTGGTATCGGTGCTATTTGTTTCTTGCGCTTTGCATCTCTAGCATTCCCTGCCATGGGGAAAGCCTTGATGGCAAGTTACGCCAGGAATCCAGCTTCAAGTGGACGTTCTCTGATCGACTGACAGGTGCAGGTCTGACACTTTTAGGCCTCACCGCGGGCATTTGGGTCGGCCATAGACGGGACAAGCGGAATGTTCAGCAGCGGCATCCAGAACACGCCCCCACGGGCACCGGCACTTCACTGACGCAGAGCCTCCAGAAGTTCGAGAACATCACCAAGCAGCTGGCAAAGGATTCGCAGCCAGAGACCTTGGAGGAAGCGCTATCATTTGTGAGAACCCTTTGCGGAGGCATAAGTCCCTTGCACTGTTCGGCGGAGGTTGTCACCGGCTCGGGGGCGGCTACGCTGGTTGTGCGCTCTGCCAGCGAGCTTTTCGGCGAGTTTGCCACACGGTCACGGATTCCCTTTAACATTGCCGGCGACAGGGAAATCAAGTTCCAAATCGAGACCAAGGCGCCAGCTAGCACTTGCCCTTTCAATTGCGCCTGCCATTTGCGTTGCTTCGGGCCGGCGAGCTGCTCAAAGGATGGCTGTCCCTTGGGTGGGCCCTGGGCTGAGCTGGTCCTGGTCTGCGGGACTCGTGTGCAGCGTATCAGCGCCGCCACACAAGTCTTTGCACAGCACTCGCCGGTAGACTTTGGGAAAGCACAGGGGCCGCGTGTGGTGCACGTCCCACAGAACGATACGTCCTCCGTGGATATGCGAGGGGCTGTGGCGGTCTTTGCGGAGAAGCACAAACCAGGCACCATGTCGGACGGTGCTCTACTCAAGCAGGCCTTCTTGGCTGGTGCGCTTGCTGTCATAAAAATTGGCGGAGGTGGCGCCATGCTCTACAGCGTGCCAGATCCCAGCGAGATACCCTGCTTTGCAATTTCAGAGGAGGATGGGAAGACTTTGACACAGGCCCTCGCACAAGGGCCAGTTCACTTGAAGCAGTGCCAGCTCCACGACAAGCGAGCTCGCTTGCAACAAGACCGGTGGAGTAGTGGCAACGTTTGGGTGCACATAGACGGATTGTTTTTGCAGTCGGTTGATTGGGGCTGCCCTCTCAGTGAAGTGGCGGAAGAGACGCAGGCTTCACGGCAGGTTCTAGTCTATGAAGACTATTTCAACGTTTACAAGTCCACGCGAGATGCGGATCCGCGGCTGAGCCCGGAGCGCAGCAAGCTGAGGCGGATGATTGAGTCCGCGTGGGTGCAACTTGGCCGGGTTGGCTTGGCGAGCAATGCCTCAATGATGGGCAAGCTTTTGGCCATCGGAGCGCAGCGGTGCAAGTTCAAGGTGCAGTACGTGAAGTTCTTCCCGGCGAAGAGCTTCAAAGGCACTGCCTGCGCCATGCTTTTGTCACCCGAGGGCCCCAGCTGCACCCAACGGCCTGCCTGCAGCGCGATCGTGCAGGCCTGGGTGGCGCACGAAGCGGTGTACCTGGCACTCATGGGCCATTTCACCAAGCTGATTGGGTACATGGCCCCTTCTTTGTGGAACTTCATCCAGTGCATCAACGGGGAATTCTTCGGATGGGAGGCGGACGCCAAGCAGATCCGGAAGCTGTTTACAGCCTGCAGCGGGCCTGTGGGGCCCATCCCGCAGAAGGAGTGGCAACAGCTGGACCCTACCTGGCGCATCGTTGACGAGCGGAATAGCCTGGGCATTGTCACCCGGACCCAGGGTCGCTTACTGTGGACCAGGGCACAGCCCAATGCCCCAAATGCACCGGCTGAGCCGAGGCATTCGAGGCCAAGGAGGGTCAGGCAGGAACCCAAGGAAGCATCTCTGAGTGTGGTGGGCCGTATGTGCCACAGCCTTTGTAGCAACTGAGCCGTGCTTGCAAAATGCAGGCACGCGTGGCACAGCCCAACCTGCACATGGAGTGTGCGCATGAAAAGTGTGTGAATTTGGAAAGTTCTTTTGCGTCCTTTGCATGCCTTGGTGCCCATTTCCTGTTTGGGTGCCCATTGTTTGTTTGGATGCGCTAGGAGGCCTGCACAAGCTTACGAAGCTTCCGCGGCGCTTGGTTGTTGACCCTGGCATGCTTTTTGTTTGAATGCTTCCCATGTGGGAGTTGTGAATTGAAGTCCACCATGCACCATGGATTCGCTGGCACCCCGCACTGAGGTACCTTGCTGTAGCAGCTGGCCGAAGGCCAATGCCGACGCGGCTTTGTACTAGGGAAACTTGTACAATAGCAGCGCGTCGCTAGTGAACCCAAGCAGTGGATACGCAAATTTGTACCAACCCTGTTGTGGCGGGCGCCCTTGAATGCAGAGATGCCAGCTGCGTTTGTTTCATGGGGTTCTCGCTATCCTGCACCTCTGGTTGCAGAATTGGCGTTGCTGTGGTCAATCAATCGCCTGTTTGCAGCTTGACGCACTTTACTAGCCTTCCTTGGTTGGAAGTGGATTGCGAGGTCAGGCCCGGGTAGGTTCTTGGCAATTGCTTGCGTTGCTTGCAAGATTTGCTTTGTTCTTTTTGCGTGGCTTGTGCCATTCACCATTACTGCTGCAGCTTTGTCAGCAAAACCGCACCACTGAAAGCCAAAGCAGTGTCAGAGCCAAGAGCCTCGCTGGGAATTCCACGCCAATCGCAAGCGATGCACAAGTGCACATCCACGAGTGACTTGGATGCTTGCAGCACCGGATGGAGCATGAAGGAAAGGCCACACCCGCCTCTTGGCTCTCGCGGCCGTCCAGGGAAATCTTGAGAATTCTGCCCTCAATCCCAGGCCACTGCTGCGTTTGCCTCTTGCAGCAGCCGGAGGGTCTGGAGTAGATCCAGTTCGCGTGGTGTGGAGCCAAGTGCTGAAAAAGGTGGGACATGACCTTATATACATAGATCCCCTCGCTTCAAGGTGCAGACGCAGCAACTGGTCCAATACTTTGAGAACAACTACAGCAACTTCTTGGGAGGTTGTCGGCTTAAACAGTGACTGGCCGCAGGCTATGAGGCGAAATCGTTGATGTGGGCCTAGGCCTTCTCGCTGAGCATGGCGCGCCACAGCCGTCTCCCATGTGTGGCCCAGTTGCATTCGACTGACCGGATTTCTTGGCCCACGCCATGGGCGAGGAGTGCTTCGGAACTTGCTTCGACCAGCGTTCATGCTTTGGCTCAAGTGGATCCATGTGAGCCAAAAGAAAGCCTCGTTGACACACTGCTATATAAGTAGAAGGGACCGTCCTTTTAACTTCTTCGCTTGTTTCGCCTGGTTGTGCCTCAGGTGGCACCACTCTGAAGAGCTTTACAAGTGCTACACCTCGTCCGCACTTCGAGGTGGACTTCGAGCGCCACTACCGCCCTTCTTCGCGAAGGACGGACACGAGTCAGTTGACCGACTGTTGGCTGAGCCACTCTTACGCCGTGGCAGGCGTAAGGAGCGGGAACAAGGCTTGCGCTGCGCCTGGTTGCCTCCTTGTTGCCTTGGCTTGGCGTTGGAAATGCATGTTATTTTCCACCACCACCACCACCGCCGCCACCACCACCTCCACCACCTCCATCACGACCCAGTTGGCACAAGTGCCGGACGCATGTGCGAGCTCGCCAACCCAAGCTCTTTTTTAAATGCCTGGCAGGTGCAAGTCCTAGCCGCACATCTTCCAAGCACATAAATGTCTCCCAGGCCAGCTGGAGGGCGATTTATTCCTTGACTGTGCTTCATGGAAGCGTTGCAGCTTTAGAGAATGCTGTGGCCGCTGTTTTGCTCGCGCAGCTTGCAAGAACACATTCCACCCACATTGGGCAAACAAAATCCGAGCACGCCAAACGCTAGCCCCCACAAAACCAGATCCTAGATCTGGGCTAGGCCAAGCCAATAGTCCTGCCAAGCTCAATCCAGAGTTTTCCTACCCTGGAACTCGCCTGGAAATTTGCGTCACCCATCAGAAACCCTATCGAGTGAGAGCCCTTCTGGTGCAACTCCAGCTGTCCCTTTTGATTTTCTATTTTCCTGGGTATTTTTTTTCTCAGAGGCGGAGTCGCCGCGTGGGAGGGAGGGCAGCCGCCAGACGAGCCCCGGCAGCATGCAACCGGCGAAGCCTTGTGCCCGCGTGTCGCCGAGGACCACGCGGCTGACTGCAGTCAGCCTGCCATCCCCAAGGGATCGGGCGCGAGGCACGCATGGGGAAGGCGATGAAAGGTGTGAATTGGTAAATGCAGCGGAGGCAAAGATTTCGGCCGTGACCTCGACTCGGGCGAGGCACTCAAGGACCTTGTGTTTGCTGCATAGGCCTCAGGAAACTTTCTGTCCTTGAGTCCGCTTTGGTTTCGGCCCGTTTGTTACCCTCAAAGAGTTGATTTCCATGCTTCGTCTTTTGCAGTTTCTGCTGCATTCACGGCTCACATTTGGCCTTCGAGCCTTTCTTGCAGGGAAATGTTTCTCCACGGTGCCTTTGGCCTTTGGTGAGGACGACGACGAAGCTCGCAGGCGTGAAGCCTGTGAGAGTTTGCCGGGGCCACAGCGGGCAGGCCCTACCCCTTCAACCAGCGGAAAACGCTTTGGGTTCCAGGCGCACGCTTGTGTTGGGATCCAGCGTGGAGCACTCCCCGGAGAAAGAGAAGGCCTGGCACTGGGCCCGGGTCGGGCCCGGGTCGGGGTGACTTTAAGTTCCAAAGAACGCAAAGAATAAAACGTGCGATGAGATCCCAGTCTCGGAGCTTAGGAGTGGATTGCGCAGCATCGACGGGGGACAGAAGAAGAGGTGGCTCTGCAGTCTCACTTTGACGCGGCCCAGCCCTTCGCAGGTGGAGACTTTTTGCCACTGCTGGTGCCAGATGGATGTGGATGCTGACGGCGACGTGGACCTCGACGAATTTGCAGGCTTTTTCAGCAAGCGGAAGGTGGATAGGCGGGTAGGGTGAGATTTTAAGGATTTGAAACCGCACTGTGACCTAGCGAGGCACGTCATTGGGCTTGCTCTTGCCAGGTTGCTTGGGCTGCGATGCGTTCGTTACTTGATGCCGCGAGCCGGACAAGCTGGAGGGCAAGCAAAGGCTGCGGCGCCTCGGGGTGAGTTTGGCGCTGGTCAAATATTTTTTTCACCAGGAAATTCTGCAATCAGCCGAGAATATGGGTGATGTTGACAAGGGAAGGTAGACACGCAGAGGTTAAGTTGCCTTGGGCTTGCCACCTTTCCGAGCTCCTCAGTTGCGAATGTCACATCCAATACCCAATCTGCAAGAGTGGGAGACTCAGTGACTCTCAGGTCACCAAGGAGGAGATGATGCGTCTCATGTGGCCACATGCCACCACGGAGGACATGGACTACATGTGCACAGTCTTTGACCATGGCAGGCTAGAGTCGCATGCGCATCAACCCAGACATGCAAACAGTTCTGCAGGGCGAGTTTGCCAAAGCAGCAGAAGCCATCGTTGAATGCTGTTTGGTCTGCCTTGATTTGGGAGAGTCAGCCAACTCTCAAGCCTGGTCCTATCCCAGCCGTTGTTGCAAGGATTAGCACCTCACGGAATTCATTTTGACCCAGTTCACACGGCCATTGGGTTTTTCCTCTACCCAAGAAGGAAAGACACAACAAAACAGATGCGGGTCTGTGTGAAAGAGGCGCGCTTTCTTTTTGGTTCCCTAACTGCGCTGGTTAGGGTCTAGCGAGTCTAGCGAGTCTAGGGAGTCCAGGGAGTCTAGCCCTGGCTTTCCAGCGTGCGCAGGCTGCGTGCCATCGAGGTGCAGCCACCGAAGATGCTGCCGAGGAAGCGGCGCAACGAGCTGCTGAAGTGCTTCGATGAGATGGACCGCCGCTGGCCTTATGCCCATTGGGTGGCTGACTGATGACTGGCTCAGCAATTTGAGAGTCGGTTCCTGAAAATGCATGTTTGCGAACGAGTGGGGCCTGTTGCCGAAAACCGGGTGCGCGATAAGGACAGAACCTTGGACTGGTGGCTTGGCTGCAGAGGCGACTTGCGACTTGAAGCCTGAGTGGAAATCAGAGGTGCCATACTCGGACCTCATTCCAGCTGGAGTGGCTGACCAGAACATGGTCAAGGTGTTGCGGGACAAGTACGACAAAGATAGGCAGGGGAGGAACAGAGGTACAGAGCCTTGAGCTTACGTGCACCGTGCACATGCTTGCTTCCGTCAATGGAATTCGGAGGGGTTGAGTGCGATCCCTCCTCTTGCACTGCAGCACTGGCAACTTCGACAAGAACGCCTTCCTGGAGATGATGGCGCCCTTGGGCTACCGAGCCCATCCATCAGTGAGCCGTGTCGTGACCCGTCTCAAAATGATTGGACCCGATGGCACAAATTCAGGAGTACGGCATATGTGTGTGGATGAGGTGTGCAAAGACGGGAAAGAGGTTAGGCTGGTACAGTGGTCCAAAGACCACCTTCACTTTGAAGGCTGGCTGCTCCCCGGCTGCAAGGGACGCCTACTTCAAAAGCACTTGCTTGGGCGTTGCGAGTGCTGAGGAGCGGCAGGCACTACGAGAAGCTCAAAGCAACTTATGGCTTCCCGGAGTGAAATGAATCGCTCTAGGCAGCTAGCTCTGTGCCTGGCTACGTTTCACCGGTAGCTTCAGCTGCCCCGCGCAGGCGAAGAGGTGGCTGCGTGCTGGAGGGTATTTCTGTCATCTCAGTGGGCACTTCTATGATTTTTTGACACGGCCTAATCCCGGTGCGTAACATCCATCGGGTCAGCTTGCAAGCTCAGCACTCTGTGGCTCCAGCACCTCATGAAGGCAGACATCCAACAGCATGGCATTCCGAGATGATTCCCACCACAGGAGCACGCTAGGAACTCTGATGCCGAGCACGTGACCTTTTGTGTTCAGTAGCCAGCACAGTGCAACGAACTCACAGCACACCGAAGATGCCAGCCAAGGTACCAGCCAAAGTCACATCAAACCAAGTTGCTTTGCTAGTGTCCAACCCTAATGGAGGTTTTGGTATCTGAGCACCTGGGCATTCCAGATGACTGCATCGTGGCCGGCTCGGCTCGGGGTGTGGCTGAATGCTTTTCCAGGCTATGCCCAGGATTCGTGGCTCACACTGGATGCCAAGGTGTCCATTCGTTGCGGAGGTACCCGCCGACAGGCTTTTGTTTAACCAGCTGTTCAGCCCACAGCCACGCAGCTTGGCATCTGGCAGGCGCCCATGGATGTGGCAAGGCGGCAGGCATTGAAATTCCCCTGCAGGGCGCACAGATACGCGTAGCTCGCTGCCTTTGAAGGGACCGGGGTTTCGCAAAGGCAACCTTGATGCGCTGAACGAGCCGCGAGGGGCTGAGGGGCGGAGTGGTGTGGTGGTTGGGGTCGCCACAGCGTGCCAATGCTGCCTGTTGCTTCCAGCCCAGGTTGAAAATCGATGTGCTCCAGCCAGTGGCAACAGCACGACTGGTGCTCCACCCGCAGCAGGCCGACTTTTTTTTTATTTTATTTGTTGCGCTCTTGGTTTCAGAGGTTTTGTTTGCGACGACGGCACGTCAGAACTGTCAGGGGTCACTGCTGTCTTCTCATGACTTGCTTGATACAAGTACCTGCAATTCGATTTGTCTTTCATACGGAGGACTCCTATTTGATGGGGCTAGCCAACCAGCCGGACATGTCCATTGGTCTGAGTGTCATGTCGGCAGCTGAGCAGGGGCTTCCCAGACTTTGCCAATCTGATTCGGCTTGTGCAGTATGGGCAGGTCCTCCACACAGGGAAAGCCAAGCCAAGATGGAGCCAGGACACGTATGAGCTGTCTCTGAAAGCAACAGCATCAACAGCAAACATTATTGACCCCTAATAGATAAACACCACCTTGTGAAACAGAGCCTTGCTTTGGGGCCGACGTCTTGGGTCAGCACGCAGGAATCCGGCGCCATCAGCTCGAGATTATTTAGAAGTGATGGGGTTCTCAAGTATGCGCTGCACCCAGAAAGGCCCGCGGATGGCTGCAATGCTGGCCCATTGGCTTCAGGTTCAAAGTATGCTCACAGCCTTGATCCAGACAAGGCCGCAGGACGTTGGCTTGGCGCGTGCGCTCAAGCCGATTCTACAGAGCTTGTGCCCGTGCTGTGTAGGACCCTTACCGCTTCATGCTTCACCAGCTAATGTCAGTGAAGGCCTACACCAGGCAAGCCCCGACTCACATGGCTCGACTAGCTGCGACATGCTTCTATTTCTGCCCTAGCCTGCAAGGCCTGGTGATGTGGTGCGGGCCTCGGGCGTCTCAGATGATGTACAGCAGCGTTTGCCATCCAGTTTCAAGTTCAGGCTCATGATCCACCAAAGTTGTGACCTCAAGGGGCTGTGCAGTGCGCAGCACTTGCTTGCTTTGCCTTTGAGCCTGCTGCCATTTTTTTCTCTCCTCCACTGGTCAATGCTGGCAATATGTTTGGCTCAAGGTTGGGGCACCCCAACTGATGTAAATAAAGGCCCCAGTGGGCAGCATGCAAACTGGCACGGTCAAGTCCTACAATCCTCACAAGGGAGCCTTGCCAGCACAAGCCAAGGCCTTCTGTCAAACATGGCTTGTGAGGATTGGTGGGCAGTGTTGCACGTTCGCTTGGCAAACCAAGGCTGGGGATTTGTAGAATGCAACGGCCAAGACAGCTTCCTCTACAAGAACGAGCTGAAAGGGCAATGCCCATCAGCCCCTCACCTGATGGATTCGGGGGATTCGGGCGACGCCTAGAAGTCCGTGCGGTGCGATCAAGGCTGGCAACCAGGTGACCTTCTCGGTGGAGAATTCCGAGAAAGGCACAGTTGCAACCAACGTGCAGGTGCAGGTGCCAGCGGAGGAGGCAGCATGCCAAGGGGCCTGTGGCATTTGCGTGTGCCAGGCATTCTGTCCTTTTGGGGTTTGCAGCTTTGTTGATATGTCAGTCGGACCTGGGATTTTTCGTGGCAGTGCGTCTGTCTGTTCGTTGCGCAGGCATCGTACTTTGGCGAGATCAAGCGTTTTAATCCAGTTGGTGCCTGAGAGTCTGAGAGGCATATTCTTCAATCACGGTCGTTAGTTTGCCACCTGGGCAGCTACAGGCCGCAAGTCTGAGGTCAAAGGCTATGGCTTCATCTCCTGCGAAGCCTTTGACCAGGATGTCTTTGTGCTCAAGTCCGAGCTTCCACAAGGCATAGGATCCCTTGCACTTGCCCCGTGTCGGTTTTTTGATGGCTTGCGTGGATTGTTGCCTGCACTTGGAACTTGGCTGTGACCGCTGCATGACTCAATGACATGACAACCTGAGACTCGGTGGTGACTGGGAGTTGGGTTTCTCTAGGCTTTGGCCCGGAGGGTGGCCACTGCAAGTTCAAGGTCACCAAGGAGGAGAAGGGCCCAGCAGCGAAACAGGTCCATTTGCTAGGGGCTGCAGGAAACCAGGCGCAGCAGATGGCCTGTAGCTGGGGCAAGGGCTGGGGCAAGGGCTGGGGCAAAGGCTGGCCCATGGCCATGCCCTTCTGGAAGGGGTGGGGCAAGGGCTGGCCCAAAGGCTGGGGAAAGGGAAAGGACGGAAAGGAGTGAGGCAAGTGACTCTGGAAGTTTTACATGCGGCGGGCTCTGAGACTCCCAGTGCCGCCGCACTTGCAGAGACAACTTGCAGTACCTCCCAATGCTTCGTTTCTATGTTCCGACTGCGCGTTGCCAAAAAGTGGAGCTAGGATGGGACACAGCTTCTTGTGCTCTTATGCTTTCCTTGCAAGGTTGACTCGGTGCAAGGCTGCTGTTTGTTTATTGTGCCTGTTGCGCGCGTGTTTGCAACAGCTTGCTCAAGCACGTAATTCTAGCCGACATGCTAACTGGCACCATCAAGTCCTACAATCCCCACAAGGGTTTCTTGGCTGCAGCTTGTTTGCTTGCTTGCTCGCTTGAAACTCCCTTCACATAGTGCCAAGGTTGGGGCTTTATCGAGTGCAATGGGCAGGATACCTTTGTGAACAAGAAGGATCTCAAGGGCCACTGCCCCTCCAAAGGCAGCCAGGTAAAGTTTCAAATCACGCAGACGGAGCGAGGAGCTCAAGCAACGAGCGTGGAGGTTCTGGCGCCACCAGAGGAGCAAACGTTCTTTGGCGAGATCAAGAGCTTCAATCCTTCCAAAGGCTTCACCCTCAGTTTTTGGATGCCGGATAAAGCAGGCAGCGGCGCATGTTTCTGGATATGGCCGCCTTAAGAATTAACAAGGGCCATGGCATGCCGAGCTGAGGTTACGGCTTCATCTCCTGCGAGGCCTTTCCGGATAAGGACATCTTCGTTCTGAAGTCAGAGCTTCCTGGCGGATTTGGCCCACAAGGCGGCCATTGCAAATTCAAGGTCAGCCAGGAGGAGAAGGGCCCATCTGCCAAGGATGTGATGCTGTTGGGCTCCGCAGGGAATCAAGTCCAACAGATGAAGGCAATGGGCTACGGTTGGGGTGGCAAAGGCGACTGGGGCAAAGGCTGGGGCAAAGGCACCTGGGACACCTGGGGCAAAGGAGGGTACGGAGGTGGCTATGAGATGCCCTGGGGCATGCCCATGCAGATGCCAATATGGGGTGGCAAAGGGTACGGCAAGGGCTATGGCTGGTAAGCGTGTGGCACAGAACCAGCAATGCGACGAGCCGGCTGTGGTGTGTCACCAAAGGACTCCCGATACTTTTGTTACAATGCTTCCTGAGCGACTCATCACGAATCACAAGAGAAAAGGCGGCGTGCACTTGCCTGCTGCAGTTTCCACCTGACCACTAGCCAAGAAGTAGATCCAACCCGACCTGTTCAGATGAGGTCGGCTGGCTTGCATGTGAAATCCCCCCTGTGCCCAGGCCACATAACAAGCTTCCTCGAGCCCCAGAGCCTCCGCAGGAGGGGCTGAATTAAATTCTGAAACTTTGTGGCAAACGGGCACAGGTAGTCAATGACCGGACTGAGGGGTTGTGCGCTGAGCCGGGGCCAGGAGCCGCCAGCAGAACTTCCCCAGCCTCCCCATCCTTTGGCCGGACCTGGTGAGACGGAGCTTGCAGAGCCAGACCGTCCAGACCCACTCGCGCCCACGACGGAGACGGCGGAGCCCGAGCCCAGCGCGGAAGCTCCAGCGGAGCCCGCGGAGAGCGATGTGGACTTGGCCTTAGTCCCGCGGTCGGGTTTCCGCACATGGCGAATCGAAGGAGAAGTCCCGGCGGCGCTTACAGACTGCATGGACCTTTGAGTGCGAAGGTTTGCGTTCCAGAAATGGGCTGCCAGGTGCTCCTCAAGGCGAGCAGAAACGGTGTTTGGGAGGAGGTCTTGCAGGCAAGGGCTTACAACGGCTTACAGCTTGACGAGCGTCAGCCTCTGCATTTGCCAGAATGTTTTCCGCACTTCGACCTGCAATTGTGGTGGTTTGCTACACGGTGGCAGCCTGACGCGGTGCTGATCCGGCAGCAGCAATCGTACTCACAAAAGCTGACGTTGAATCATGAAAGCAATCATTCATAGAGGAACGGTTCATGCTGTCTTTCATTGAGGAGAAATTCGTAGTCACTGAGCTTGCACCACAGGCCAAAGTCCAGACTCTTTTCGGCAAGGGCATCATGACTGCCAGTTGCCAAGTCCCCAGGCGCAGTGAGCGACTGATTTGAAAAGGTACGTCGCCAAACCGCAGTAAAATTCTCGAAAGAGTCATGCAGAGAATCTTGTTGGGCCACGGCTTGCTTGCGGGCCAAGCATGCCAGCTTTTGGCACAGGCATTATGCGGCATAAGCCGCACCGCGTTCCGATTATCAAACCAGTGAGCGACACCCAGCTCGGCCTGTAGATCCGAAAATTGTGCCAGGCTGGCCAAAGCCACATGACACGCTTGCGGAGCCGCGTGCGCCAGCGCCTGCAAGATGCTTGGCAGTCTGGAGAGCTAGAAAAGGCCGTGCACGAGGCCAGGGCTTTTTGATCTTTGCACACATCATATATGTCAATGCTGCATTCCGCCTGTGAGAAAAGTGTGCTTGACCTTCTCCAGGCATTGCAAGGTACAAACCAAGCAGACGGTCTCAAGGTCGCTGCCTAGACTTTGTGTTGGTTGAGGCCTTGCTCCCGTGCCAGGCTGAGCCAGTCCTATCGGACGCTATCCAACTCCTGCAGGACGGCTTGAGGGCCTGCCGCATTGAACCTGTCGCTGAACTGGGCCTAAGGAGGAAGTTGCAGCAATGGCGCAGCAAGGGGAACGCCTGCACGACCAGGCCGGCATTGCACCACATTGTGGAGTGGCTGAGAGTTCTTTTTGATTTTCTTCTTCTCCGGGCAGGTTGACCAGCTGAACCTGCAGATGCAGGAGCTAAAAGATGCAAACCAGAGGTTTCTCGAAAGCAATTTCCAAGAGTCAGACCTACATGGAGCCATGGGTAGTGGACTCTCGAACTTGAACTTTGGGTGTGGCTGAGGCTGCTGGCGCAACTTGCGCAGGGCAGGTCACTTTGAGATCTGATCGGCACGGAACAAAGCCCGTTTTACAGTTGCGCCACATCCCATATGTGAAGTGAGCGCCCGTTCTATTGGTCTCACAGGGGCTTGTCTTGAGGGCGGCATGTGTTTTTGTTTCACAGCTGAGGTGCCTTTCATAAAGCACCATTCAATTCACATGACACATGTGTCAGAAAAAGAGCCTCGAGGAAAACATGGAGTCCGGCTTTCGCAGCTCAATCAGGGTTTGAGCAGCCGCATTTGGCGTGGGGTCCTTTGGTGTGTGCACCAGTTTCCTGGCTGCAGGCACGGATCACAATTATCCCAGCATCCCAGCATCCCAGCATCCCAGCATTCCAGCATCATCCCCCAGCGCAGCATCCCCACGCCCAAGTCGGAAGCACGGTGACAAGAACCTGCAGCCCTTGCTTGTAGCAAAGTCTCGCCAGGCCCTCTGAGCTTGCATGTTTTATTTTCTTCTTTTTTTCCCCCCCTTGTCCCCAAGGCCTGGGAGCCAACAGGCGCAGATCTAGCCAGGCGCCATCACGAGTGTCGCAAGACCTGTCAGGCAAAGCTGGCAGTTCCGGCTGCACATGCTCGAGCCTCCGGGAAAGCGCCCGAGTGCGGCGTGAGAACATCAGCCCAGGCTTCTGGTTGGTCGGCATGGCTTCGATGATGCAGGCGCCTGCAAAGACTCAGACTTGCCTTGACTACCCTTGCCTGGAGGCGCAGAAAGACCTGCGGCGTACAAGTTCGAAGCTGGGGACCGTACCCAAGTAAGCCGAATGGTCTCTGCCGTGCGCAGTTTGCAACGCAGGGTGCGCCTGCACGATTCCGAAGCTCAGGAAACTGGAGTACCAATCGGTTCCTACGCTCAGCGGTGGGATGCTCAGTCTGGCTGTTCTGAGCTGGTGTTCCTCGGGCATGGCCCACAGGAGACGAAGGCGCCAAGAAGCAGAAGAGCGACTTGGAGGCCGGGTTTCCAAGCTTTCGCTCCCGTATGCAGCAGTTTGGTCCTGTTGTCGACGCTGCGCACGCCTTCTCAAAGCTCACGGAAACCTGCGCCGCAGGGCTTCGCCGCAATCTTTGGTGACAACAAGATCCTGTCTAGCCTGTGCCCACCTTAGCCTTTGCCCACGCTCTCGGTCCATCGGTGCCTTGTTGCGCGGCCAGGCTGCTGTTTGTTCCACTGGGCTTTGCGGCGCATCAGATGGGATGGAGTGCAAGCTACGTGCCCCCTCCCATACGGGCTGAATAAGGGTTGTTGAAATGTGCCGCCAGGTATTCTCATTCAACTTCTTTGCAATTATACCTCTTGCATGGCTGATCGGAAAGGCGACGGAGGCTGTGCTTTGTCATGATGGTGCCAGGGAAGGTGTGGGCCAACGTAGGCATAACTCCTATGCCGCGGCAGGATGTTGCAGCAAGAATCGGAGAAACAGCCGGCGGCTTGCTGAATGCAACCTTTGGAAACGTCGTAGCTGGCTCAGCCCGTTCGGCAGCCACAGTCGGACTCTCATGGGAGAGACTCAGGTCGAGATGCTGCTTTGCATCGTGTGTAGCTTAGACTCAGAAGCATGCTTGGGCAAAGCCTGCCACGCCAGGCTGGAATTCGAAACAACGAGATTAGCGTTGCTCAGCTGCACAGACTGGGGGATGGATGGTTGCCTGCCTGCCTGCCTTTGCCCAACTCTCTGCTCTGCTCTCTGCGCTCTGCTCTCTGCTCTGCTTGGCTTTCTTGCTTGCTCACCTCGCTCGCTCAAGCTTTGAGCACACTTGCACGAGCAAACTTTCACGACCACACTTGCACAAGCAAACTCGCGTGAGCACACGCACAAGCAAAAAAGCGCAGAAGCACATTTGCGCTCGCACGAGCACACTTGTATGAGCGAACCTGCGCGAGCAACCTCGCGCAAGTTTGTTCGTGCAAGTTTTCTTGCGCAAGTGTGCTCATGTGAGTTTGCTCGCGCGATTGTGCTCGCACCCGTTTGAGTTCGCTCGCGCAAGTGCGCGCTTGTGCGGATTTTGCTCGCGCAAGTGCTCGCGCGAGTTTGCTCGCGCAAGTTTTCCCGAGCAAGCTCGCAAGAGCACACTTGCGCGAGAAAACTTGCACCAGCGAGCTCTCAGAAGTCTTGCAATTATCATATGACATCCTCTAAGGGGGGTCAGCGTGGTCATGCGTGGTCGATGTGCAAAAACTGAGGACTCTTTCATTTCTATTCTTTGAGGTGCCCGCGCGACCCTCTGTGGGGATTGGCGTGGTCAAGGTGCAAAAACTGGTGTGGTGTCTTTGCGGTACTTGTGTGGAGAACGACCGTTTGAGTAGAACAATGCGTGCAAGACACCTGCACAGTGCAACTTGAAAGATAATTACTCAGAGAGCTTGCCCAGAGAGAACTGCGTGGCTAACTCGCGGTGAGAAGCTTGCGCACCGCTAGGGGCAGATATTTTTGAGCCCAGAAGTTGGGCAGAGCAACTTGCGCAGAGAACGTGAGGGGTTTTGCGTAGAGAAACTTACAGAGTGAATTCTTTGTTGTTTGGCATTGCTTTGCGTCGCCTTGCGTCGCCTTGCGTCGCCTTGCGTCGCCTTGCGTCGCCTTGCGTTGCCTTGCGTCGCCTTGCGTCGCCTTGCGTTGCCTTGCTGCCTTGCGGTGCCTTCTGGTGCCGTGCGGCGCCTGGAGGTGCTTTTTGTTGTTTTGCGCTGCCTTGCAAAGCCTTGCGTTGCCTTGCGTTACTTTGCGCTGCCTTGCAAAGCCTTGCGTCGCCTTGCGTTGCTTTGCGTTGCCTTGCTGCCTTGCGGCGCCTTCTGGAACCGTGTTGCCTTGCGTTGCCTTGCGTTGCCTTGCGTTGCCTTGCGTTGCCTTGCGTTGCCTTGCGTTGCCTTGCGTTGCCTTGCGTTGCCTTGCGTTGCCTTGCGTTGCCTTGCAGTGCCTTGCAGTGCCTTGCAGTGCCTTGCAGTGCCTTGCAGTGCCTTGCAGTGCCTTGCAGTGCCTTGCAGTGCGCCTTGAGGCGCCTTGAGATGCTTGCCTTTTGTTGCTTTGCGTTGCCTTGCTGCCTTGCGGTGCCTTGTGGTGCCGCGTTGCCTTGCGTTGCCTTGCAGTGCCTTGCAGTGCCTTGCTGTGCCTTGCTGTGCCTTGTGTTGTCTTGATAGCCTTGTCACCTTGTTGCCTTGCGGCGCCTCGCAGAGCATGGACCTTCAGCCGAGGTTGTCCAGTGCACGCTTCTAGGGCTGGAACCCTAGCCGCGTATATTCGGCAGGTGTCCACACGTGACAACGGCGTTGTGTTTGGACTGTGCCCAGGTCAATTCTGAGCAACCTCCTCCTAGTTATGGGCTTGCCTCTCAGCATGTAGTGCTTGGTAAGTGACTGGGCCAACCTCCTTGTAAGGGTGGGTGAGTTGACTTCTTTGCGCTTGCTTTGGCCCAGGATGCGCTTTCCTGTTTGGCGGCTTGTACTTCCCCATTCAGCGGTACAACCAGGCCACAATTTTGTTGACTTTGCTGTGATTGAGCCACAAGCTCCAATAGCAATGCGGGGGAGGAGTCCATTGTAGGGTGCACCTCCGCTGCTCTTGCAATGATGCTCAATGATCCATTTTGCGGTTGATCCCCTTGGGAGTTTCGAAGGTGCACTGCACACATGTCATCAGCAACATTGCATTTTTTCTGAGTCACACGGCTGCATGCGGCCATTCCTCCCAAGGCTGGCGCGGCTACTCAGTGTTCTTTGATGGCCGGAACCTTTGCGCAACAAAGTTGCTCAGGAGACTTAGCTCTTTGGGAAGGGGTTCTATTCTTGACCATCTTTGACCATGTTGGTAGAACCACAAGTTAAAGGGTTTCAACAGCCAATCCGGTTGGAGAACCACCAAAGTGAGCACACAAACCATAGCCGTCGGAAGTGCGCACAGTTTCAGGCCTTGAGTGTTTTTGCAATTGGCCTGCCAACAATCTATGTGAACGTGCTGAAGCAGGACCGAGTGTGTTGAACGCTGCAATTGGCTCTAGGTTCGACTGCTTTGCCTCTCGCAGGAGTCCGAATGGGAGCACATGGTGGAGGTCTCCCGATGGGTCGTTGCCCTCAGCCTTGTGGTTGTGTGTTGAGCTGCTTGCAGTGTCTTGCGCCAAAGTCGAAGAGCGTGGCGGCAATACAGACTGTGGCAAGCACGTGATGGCGCTTCTGGATACAAGGCATCGGTATTCCTGCTGGGGGTGTACTTCGCGTGCTCTGGCCATTGCACGTGCAGCATCTGATTGCTGGCTGATGGTGCAATCATGCTCGAGGTACCTCGTCTTCCAACTGAAAACGCATGCAAGCCTCTTTCAGGATCGTTTTGTTGCTTGAGGGATTCTTTAGGGTCCCGATCTTTTATTCCCCAAACAGTGTGTCTACACTAAGGGGTTCTTACGGTAAGAGAAAAGGCCTTGGTGCCAGATTGAGGTGCCCGCTCTGTCCGCGAGCGTTTTGCGTGGTATTTACCGCAGATTCGTGCTCTTGCTTGATGTCGAAGTGCGTTTCGACTGCGCAGGCTCGCACAAAGTGAGTTGGCGACTTCTGTCCGCGAGCGTTTTGCGTGGTATTTACCGCAGATTCGTGCTCTTGCTTGATGTCGAAGTGCGTTTCGACTGCGCAGGCTCGCACAAAGTGAGTTGGCGACTTCTGTCCGCGAGCGTTTTGCGTGGTATTTGCCGCAGATTCGTGCTTTTGCTTGATGTCGAAGTGCGTTTCGACTGCGCAGGCTCGCACAAAGTGAGTTGCGACTTCTGTCCGCGAGCGTTTCGCGTGGTATTTACCGCAGATTCTTGCTCTTGCTTGATGTTGAAGTGCGTTTCGACTGCGCAGGCTCGCACAAACTCGATTTTTTTGCTTTTTTGGCGGCTCCGGGGACCGGGGGTTTTGTCTCGTGGTCCGGCGGCACGGGTTTCCGGCGAAAGGTCCCGGGCTCGATTCCCGCCCTGTCCGCGCGAGCTTGTTTCCCTTTCTTTGGGCATGCTTGGATGGTGCTTCTGTGCTGCGACGGCGTCTCGATGGTACTCTGAACAACAACACCCAAAAACAGCAACAGCTACAGCAACAGCAACAGCGCCACAATCGAGAACAAAGGAAGAAGCTACCTAGCTAGCTAACTCACTAACTCAGGCACCCTGGTGAAACAAACACACAGATCTTGCCTTTTGTAGTGATGCTTACACACACATACACACGCGCACACACGCCCACACACACACACACACACACACACACACGCACGCACGCACGCACGCACGCACGCACGCACGCACGCACGCACGCACGCACGCACGCACGCACGCACGCACGCACGCACGCACGCACGCACGCACGCACGCACTCACTCACGCACACACGCACACACGCACGCACGCACGCACGCACGCACGCACGCACGCAC